TTAGTATATAAAACTCAAACTCATATAGAACACAATTTTGTAATATATATATATATATATATATATATATATATATATATATATATATATATATATATATATATATATATATATATATATATAAGGTAATAAGATTTATATCCTCTAAATATTATAAAACTTTCTAGGAGGTAAATAAAACTCTAAATTATAGTTTAAATAGCTAAGACTTATTTTACAATTTTGTATAAGTTTTACTTTTAAAATTTACACTAAATTTTATTTTATTTATATAAGAAAAAATTTTAGCAAACTCTTTAAAAAAAGGTTTTCCAATTACTTTATAAAGACATTATTACATTGATTGATTGGTTTAAATTGAGGTATAATATTAGTTGCAAGACACCATATAAAAGAAACATTTGTGAAAATTTAGCCCTCATTTCTTAGGGCCTGTTGGGTGCTTATGTTAGTGCTTAACATTGCTATGGCAATGCTTTTACTTAGGGCACTAACTTTTAGCTAGGTTCTTGGCACTCAAGAGTAGGTTCTTGGACATTCACATATTAGTTTAGGACATTTGTTTACCATAACTCATATTACTTTTATATATGAGTAAAAATAATAAAATTATAATAAATACTGTATCATATATGTCCTCCATACACTCTTGAAATAATAAAAACTCTAAAATAAGGGCTTAGGGTTTATGTTATAGGGCTAGAAGCGCTAAATAACACACAAAACTAGTTGAAGGTAATTACTATATAGTATATACAATAATAGATACTCACCTAGCTATGTTTTTATCACAACTTTCCAAATCTTTTAAAGATTCATACCCTTGGTTTTAAATAATCTCTCTAAATCCTAGGGCTTACCTTCTGAACCCTAGAATTTACTGTAGATTATTTTTAGCAAATGTTGAGGAAGGTTGCAAGATAATTAGTTAGGTATTTCCCCAATTAAAAAAAGTTTAAAATTTTGGCTTTCCTCTCTAGTTTCCAACACTGAAGTTCTTTATTTTATTCTTGTGATCACAATTTCCACACATGTTTCCATAAAGAAGTAGTTGCTTTTAAGCTTGTGGAGGGTGTGTTCTAACCCACAAAGATTTAACCATGGCCACCAAATATTGTTCATAACACTAAACCCTAAACCCTAAATTGAGCTTGGCTATGTTTCACACACTATCACCAACTTATTAGAGCCATCAGTTTATCACCATATAGTGACTTCTAGTGACTACAATATCATTTATAGTCAAAACTACTTCACTCAACCACCAGATCTTTGCAAATATGTTTTCCATTATTATCGTTATATATGGTGAAAACTTTTCTTTTTTCATTTTTTTGTTTTTTTTCTTTATTTGTTTTTCTCTCTTTGCTTTCATATTCTTCTTTTCTAGGATCTGGTACCAAGAAGAGCACAAATGTAAACTTCAATTTTCATTTTGAGATAGTGCCAACTTCTGTCTTTTGAGAACTTATGCATTTCCTTATTTTAATCCTGGTTTCTAAGTTTTCTTTACATCATGTCATGCCATCTATTATTGTAATCAGTTTGAGTCATTTCAAATAATTTTTTGCCCACCCATTCACTCACTATACCATTGTTTAGAACTCATTATAGTTGCCTAATTCACATTTCATTATATTTCTTATTATATATTTATTTATTTAGGGATCTTTATAGGCTTATATTAGAAACCCTAGAATTTAGGGTTTATGGTTTATACCTTTAAAATTACCCTAAACCCAAGGAGATAAATTATTTCCTTCAATACCTTGAGAAAGGTTGTGAGATAATTGGTTAGGTATTTCCCCATTAGAAAAAAAGTTTATAATTTAGGATTTAGAAATAGCTTGTAGGAAACATGAGGCAGATGTAGTAAACTTTAAAAATTTATTGATTCTTGTGCTATATTTATAATTTTTTTAGGTAGAGATGGTTTTGGGTTTACAGTTTAAGGTTTAGGGTCCTTAAAATTGCTCTAGTTCCTTATTTTTCTGGAATATTAGGGTGGCATTGTACATTTGAAGGCCATTAATTTGATATTCCAGAAAAATATGGAACTATTTTTGAATTATGATATTGTTGAAATAGTCTAGAATATTATAATCTCTAGAATCTTCTAATTTTTTTTGTATCAAAGCCGCATTTAGGCACAAGAGAAATAAGGATTACCAATTTATATGCGATCACAAGTGAGAGAAAAAAAATGGTTGAAAATCTAAGTTCTTTAGTTTTCTTTACTTATTTTTGGCTCTTAAGGGGATTTATGTGGGGTTCTAGATTAAACACATGGCTATAAGGCTGATAAGCATGAAGGAGTTTACCTAATTATATTGCTCATAAACTTGTGCCGAATTGCTTTATTTATGATTATGCTTCATTTTGTTAAACTGGGATTTTTCATTATCCCACTTATGACATATAGTGTCTTGAATGTGACTATGACAAAGATGCCATGATGCAAGGAGTGAGGCGAACTAAAGACAGTGCAACATGCTTTGTGGGCGAGAAAGATATGGTGACAGATTCTCAAAGTGACACATGAATTAGGAGATATTCCAGAGTTTGAGGTTCGGAGCAAAGACATTCTCCATTGGTTTGAAGGAGCTAGAGGTCTAGCCATTGGTCTTTCTTAGAGACATATTCAATGTCAAGGACAACAGGATGGAGTATGCAAGTCCAGTAGGATGTGATAGAGGCTAAAGTCAGGATATTAGTCTTGGAGGTGATAGGCCATGAGCACCAATCTATCTAGAGAAGTGATGGGAGTGCAAGCACTTTAGGAGGCATGGAATCATTGTCACTTCAATAGGCAGCAAGCAAGGATATTTGTGGTGGTGGTATTATGGTGGAGACTCACTCTTGCAGCAATGTGTCTTCATTATACCATTCTTAAAAAGCAGGCAAAACCAAGGTAGCTAGAAGAGTGGAGGATCAGATGACTTCTGTGTTTCAGCAAAATGGTAGATGGAAAGATTGATTAGTAGTGGCACCCCTCGGACTTTGTTTTACATTTAACTCAAGGGGGAGACTTGAACATTAACATGATCCAAAGGAAACAACCATGTCCACTTCTACTCAAGGATTAGGTCCAATTGAAACATAAGAGGATCACGTAAAGTAACTCATTGAGAGGGTGGCACGCTAATTTTTGTATTAGTCTTATTGGGATATGGGGAATGTACATACATATTTATCAAATATGACTACAAATATTAAAAATTATTTATCGGTGAGTCTTTTTGGATATTCTTTTTTTACTATTATGACAGTAAGAGGTTGGTATTGCTAAACCCTTTATCACCTCTTGTGCTAGTGGAGTTATTTAGCATTTCAAGTGTACTTAGACTGAACAAGCATAAGGATAGAATTCCTACATACTATTAATTAAACATACTTAACTTCGTAAGGAGTTCCCATCTTGTTGTGTTTTGCATTGGTTAATGACAAAAACTTTGGTGTATTGAAATTAGTCCCTTAATATCACCAAATCATGTCTACTAAACACCCTTACTATTATACCCTATATGTTAGTTTTGTTTGGTCTTATTAACTATTTATGAAAAGTGTCTAAATCTGCAAGTTAGGCACATCTATGAAATGTAAAGTTTGTCCTAAACATGATGGTGTTGTTCCTGCATTCAAATTTGCAATTTAGTATTATTTTATATTTAATATGTTTCAAGTTTATTTTAGAGATTTAACTCCTAGTACTAGAGTGTGTATTCTTTAAGGGGGAGGGGGGCTATGTTCCAAATGTATAATAAGGATAGTGGGTAGATTAAGCATAGCTAATATAACTTACTCTTTCTTGCTAGTCTTTAGAAGTGTTATTTTAGAATTACATCTGCTAATTTAATTTATATTATTATTCAAAAATAATATTTTAATAAGAAACTATTTTCATTAGTGGCACTTTGTATAAGTCCCAGAAGACCATGTTGGTGAGCTGGTGTGAGAACTATCAAATCGACTAGATATTTTATAGGTGACAATATTACAATCGTTTTGGACAGAGAAAATCGATGGTTGGATTGAACAGTCACAACTGTAATTAGACTTCCAAATTACATTGTTGTTTCCATCATATATTGTTAAGCCTCCATTGTATTCCAAAACAAGCCTACAATTGCCCACTGTGTTTGAAAAAGAATTTGAAGTCCACAAAGGGGAGTTTTGAATCAAAATCTTGTAAAGAGCAAGGATTCCATTGCTTTGTAAACTCAGCATAATAAGCCCGTTTGGAGAATATAGTTTTTCACCACTAAAAAGTGTATTATGAGGCCACCATCCAAATAAAGTTGTCTCAAACACTGAAAGACAACCTGTAGAACGAGCTTCTTGAACTTTAGAATTACTATTGTCATTAAAGATTACTTGAGGGCTTGGAGGGCTAGGAGGTGGACTTGAAGTATAGATAGCACTGTATTCTAGCACAAATATTTCATCTAAAAAATCTACTGCCGCTCTATGGTAACCATACAATCTACTCCTAATCACATCTTGGCTTTCATAGAGTAAGTAAGCAAAGGCGGCATGAGCTTGAACCCCTTGGATTGTTGTTCTACGACTATTGGAAGGTGATGCTGAACATCTATCACCTTGGTTCCCATCCTGAATAAAAAGGGTGCAATCTACTGTACCCCCCTCCAGGAGTAAGGTGTCACTAGTGGATGCACCAGCACCAAAACTTCCACCAAATTGGAATGCTGTGGAGGTCAGGTTTCTGAAGAAAGTTATAAGGCGTGCAATGTCATTATGTGAGAGGAATCCCGGAAGTCCATTGCTAAAGGTAATTGGCCGTCCACCACCTGGTGGGCATTTGATAGGGGCAACAAAAAAAATCAGGAAAAACAAAAAGATTAGTGTAATATGTTTTGCCATAGGGATTTCAGCAATAACAATAAGACAATGTTGTGGATCAAGAAATAGAACTATATAATGGTTTGCAGGCTTTGGTGGAGACGCTATCTGTTGACTTACACAAAAGTCTATGTCTCGTTTGATAAATGCATGGAAAGATGGAACAAGCAAACCAATTTTGTCCGGTTGCTTAAAACTCTCAAGTTTGTATGACCTATGGGGAAAGGAACGCTTGCCTCGCGGCTATGGAGTCTTGCCACGACCTCGCGACTGCCCAAGAGCTTCATTTCCGTCTCCAACGCCTTATGCGACCCAGAGGCGATGTTTACGCGCTCAACAAGGTGATCGACATGTATGGCCGGTGTGGTAACACGGAGATTGCTCGATGGATCTTCGATGGCATTCACAAGGATTCCTTTTCATGGGTGCTCATGCTCTGCACTTACGCACGCAATGGGCAGCTTCAGGAGGCCAGAAGGATCTTTGAGCAAATGCCCGAGTACGATGTCGTGAGCTGGAACTCGCTTCTTGCTGCATATGCCCAAAACGGGCATCTTGACGATGCTCGGCGTTTATTCGAGGCCATGCCGGAGAGAAGTCTTGTCTCGTGGAATCTGATGCTTTCAGTATACGCGCTCAACGAGAGCCTAGATGAAGCAAAGAGATTTTTTGACGAGATGCCCGCTTGGAATCTGGTTTCATGGACGACGCTGCTTGCATCAAATGCCTTGCATTTCAGTCAGAAGATCTTCGATCAGATGCCTGAGTATGATGTTGTTTCTTACAACGCGATGGTTGATGCTTTTGGCCAAAGGCAAAAAGTTCTAGAAGCCAAAGACGTCTTTGATAGAATCCCGGAGCCAAACCTGGTATCTTGGAACACATTGCTTGCAGCGCATGCCCAATCCGGGCATACCAAAGATGCCGCGGACTTGTTTAAGATAATGCCACAAAAGAATATCGTGTCGTGGACCATTTTGATGGTGGCGTATGGAAACACTGGCGACGTGGAATATGCTCGATTTTTGTTTTTGTTGATGCCCGAGTGGAATCTCATGACATGGAACGCTCTACTAGCTGCATATTCCCAAGGAGGGTATCTGGAAGAATCGAAGGCGGTGTTTGATTCCATGCCTTTCCAAGACTCGGTATGTCGGACAACGATGCTAGCAGTGTATTCTCGCCAAGGGTGTCTTGGGGAGGCTCAAGCTTTGTATAATTCCATTCCATTAAAGAGTGTGGTATCGTCAAATGCTATCATGTCGGTATATACCCAGTTTGGGCATATTGTTGCTGCAAAGAATCTTTTCGACCGGATGCCGTGCTTGAGCATCTTTTCCTGGAACGTCATGCTTGCGGCATACACTCACAGCTCCAGATTTACTTCAGCTTTGGAGCTCTTTGACTCGATGAAGATCATTGAGAAAAGTTTTGATTCTTCTACTCTCCTCTTGGTTTTGATGGCTTGTAGTCGAGCCGGGAAAGTTTACAGTGGTCGATGTATCTTCGTCTCCTTGACCCAGGATTTTGGCATGAAGGCTACCAAGCAGCATTTTTGCTGCTTGGTTGATATGCTTGGACGGGCTGGGCATTTGGAGGACGCCGAGAGTTTGGTTTCGAGCATGCCTTTTGTTCCCGAGGCATCGGACTGGACTTGTTTGTTGGGGGCTTGCAAGAGTCACAGTGCAATGGAAAATGGAGCTCGGGTCACACAGAAACTTGTTGAGTTGGACCCCAAGTATGGAGCTTCGTATGTTTTGCTTGCTAATACTTTCTCAGCACATCCTAGAAAAACAAGTTTTGCCGGAGCAGCACCCTGGTAAGAACAACTCCTTTTATTTTCACAATGTGGCTTTGACTTTTGTTTTCATTCTTTTCCAGACCAATGCATCCAGTTAAAGATTTTTATGCTGAATGAGCCAGGTATAACCGTTTAATTCCCAGTTTTCTTTTCCCTTGATCGAATTCTAGGCACGGGAAATTGTTCAAAACAAAAAAAAAAAATCGTATCTTTCTAACACTTAAACTTTTCTTTGCAGCTCTGGAAGCTCATTTCTCGACTGACGTGCCGCGTCCCTTATTATGCGCAAACGAATTATCAAACGCGGATTCATCCCTTCAGGTATCTTGTTCCTTACATTGAGAGAACACCTCGTCAGATTCCTTGGCTAGCTATTTAGCACAAGGAGACAAACTTTGTGTCGGCATCTAACACTTGCTTTGTTTGTGGTCGCGCCAGGTCGAGAAAGCTCACAGTCACAAAAAACATATGAACCGTGTGGATTCCAATGACTTGCGAGGAAAAAGAAAAAGAGGAGGGTTGCTGTAAAGCTTGACAAAAGCCCACCCGTGATGAAAAGCGAAGCTATCTTAGCTCGTCTTCACACACGACCGATCTACACGTACTGCCTATCAAAACTCCGTGAGTGAAGGTGAGGAAGAACTAACTTAAACCACCATTCTTGTTTTAGAGGTTTCTTGGATGAATCGTGTACTCAAGGAATATCTGCTCTCTGTGCTTCCAGGATGCCATTCACGAGGCGTTACTGCTCAGCCAAGCATTTACTTTCTTCATGTACACTCAAATATAACATCTTGGCTCTTGGTAGATGCGAAGGGATCTTCTACAAGCTCTTTTACAAGAGTTTTTACAAGAAGTGGGGCAGCCGCTACTTTCACAAGGGTATGAAGTTATCCTTTCGTTTTTTTCTGTTTTTTTTCTTGTACCTGTTTGAGTTCTTTGAGCCACATAGACAGGAGTTATGATATTCCACCATACGAGCGGAGTCACGCTTGTAGCTTTTCTTCCTCTTTTGAGTTTGCCAAGTAAGTACTTTACTCCAGTTTCAAACGCAGGATTCAAGAGAGATAGGATCCATTTACGAGACACGCTTCGTTTCGTTCCACAGGTAGAATACCACACTGTACAGAGAGGAAAGGCGTGCGTATACAGAGAAAGTCTCTACGTACGAGATGACAAGGAGTGGTAAGTGGTTTCTCGTTTTTCTTCCATTTTCCTCCTGTGCTCGCTGTGCGAGTGTGCGGCTTGTCCCAAATTCTTAGTGACAGAGGCAGTCTGTGAGAGCGCTGAGCCCCCCGTCCTTGTTGTGTTATTCTCAGCTTTTAAGATCTGGAACACAGGCTCTAGTGTGCATTAATGTCACCTTTGCACTACACTACACCTCCCTTCTCTTCTTCCTGGACTGGCTTCAAGGAGAGACTGTTTAGTCCTTGACTGTGTTGTCACATTTATTCCCATTGAAAGTGAGAGCCACCAAAAGAAAGAGAGGTGAAGCAAAAAAAAAGGAGCTCTCTTTTCCTCTTTTGGTTTCCTCTTCTTCTTCCTCCTTCTATTTCTTGCACTTCAAGGATTGCGAGGCTGTTTCCATCGAAGTTTCATGGATGGCGATGGGATCCATTAGAAAACTATACGTGGAGGGCGGCGAGCATAAACTCTCCACTCCAAACCAACCTAAGTTTTCGTGGATTTTGTTTTGGAACATTGACTAAGCAGCAGCACACCACATGACACATGACGAGAACGTCGTGTGATGCGTATGTGACAACGAAACCAACAAATCGCACAAGTAGAGAGAGATGGATATTATAGAACTATGATCTTATAGTGACTGTGATCTTATAGCAACTCTTGTTTAACAAGGTTGGGGTCCTTCTCTTCACTCGACATATTAGTGCCTCGATCCAGCAATTTGCTGCTTGACTTTGAAGATGGGCCAATGCGTTTTTCTATGATTTCCACGCTCGGACCCCTCTTTCGTCGTGTTCTTTGTCAAAGAGGAGAGAAAGTTGGATCAGTGGTCGATTCCAAGTTCACAAATATTGTCCCACATTGTGCTCTGAGCTTTGTTCTTCTCTCCACGTATAGAGGTACTGCTAGATCCTTGTGTACGTATATATATACATGGGGTTATTCAAGTAAGCACATGCGCCACCATCTCTATGCACTAAACTTTGAAAGTTTTAATAATTGTTTTGATCCATGTTGACGTAATATACAGGAAAGGGCCTTGCTTTTGTTAGTGGCAATTCATCTCTCTCGATCATCGACCAACGGCACATGAGAGCTTTTCTAATGGTTTGTTTCTCTGTTTTCTATATATTTTGTGTGTGTATCTGGTCAGCGGTCAGGCTTGATTGAGAATTTGACCCTGAAGAAAGAAATTGTGTAATGAAAGATTGGCAAATGCCCCCATCTGGTAACTTGCTTACAAGAAGCAACGGAACATATATACTTGAAAATGGATGCATGTGGGGCATGTGAGGCAATAAAATTTGCTAGTTCTGTTGTTTGATCGAAAAGGTTTTGCGAGAAAGTCAAAACGGGACGAAGATGCACAGTGCGTTTTGCCCAAAGTTGACGAAACTACCATCTTATAATGATAACACTAAAATTTTCGAGGGAGGGAACGTAACCATGCATGCATCATGGATTCTATGTAGAAGTAAATAAATAAATAAGCGGACTATGCAAGCAAGTGCACGTAGTTATAAGCAAAAACAGATTACTCTTATTTTTATTTATTTATTTTTAAAAAAACATTTTTTTCTATGTTTTTCTTGCTATATGATCATGTCTGGTCATTGCCTTTATCAACCGCCTAACGAACAGGAAAGCCGAAAAGGGTCCCACTGGATAGTTTAGCAAGCATTAGTAATTGGCTGTTGTTAGTTTGTGGCTTGGCATGGCATGCTTGTTTTGTTGGATAAACCCACCGAAAGGCTAGCAAAGAAACTTGGAAGGCCAGCCGTTTTGTCTGGAGATCTTTGTTCCCAGTGGGCAGCATTCGATGGAATTCGATATGATCATCCAATCCAGCAATTCAGTTGGAAAGTTGTCGTGCACGCCAAAATGCCGGGGCGCGGCAAAATTCCCCTCCCTTGTTTTTTCCTCTCTCCGTTTCTTTCCTCTCTCACCAGCGAGGATTAGTTTGTTGTGTTGCGGTAAACTCTAGCGAAACAGTTTGGTGTGACGAGGACAAAGTCATGGTCTTAATTTTCTTTGTTTTTCTTCTGTTAGATCGACCAAAAGGTGAAAGCGCGTAAATTTGGATGTGTGTATGTATGTGTGAGAGAGAGAGTGAGAGAGTGAGAGGGGTGGGGTGGGGGCATTTTGTGTGCATGGTGTGAGCGGTTTTTTGGGGATGGAGACATAGGAACCGACCAACAACAAATGCCGGCCCAAAACTTATCTTAAGAATAGTAATTAATAACACAATTATATGTCTATAATATGAGAAAATGAATCTGTCATAGAAGGCAACTTTGGAAATCCTAGGTAGCACTCATGGTGTTGTGATGGAGAGAATGAACCTGGCCACCACAGCAGCAAGGTCTCCAAATGCAAATGCCTAGCTAAGCATCACAAAAAACACACACCAAGTGCAATGAGCAATCTAGTTTGGATTTGGATTTGCCCTTTTCACCACCCCAAAACCAGATCCATTTGCCAGGGCCACCTTTTGTTTCTCTGGGAGTTTGGGGATCTGCAATGTGAGGCCTTTTTTTATATGATTTTTTTCGTTTTTCCTGATAGCAGTTTTAGTTTTGTTAAATGTGGTTTAGCCGTGGCACGGATACGTGTCGGCTTGTCTCCCCCAATAAGTCTCAGCTCCAGCTCTGAGAGAGAGAAAAAAGAGCGAAGTAAATACACTCTCTTCCTGTTCTTCCCGGAAGTGCATCTATACTTATACGCTGCTCGATTCCTTGTATAGAGGCAGTATATTATAAGTGTCTATATATTATAGAGCTCTTTCCAAATTCCATTCTTCTCCTGGTGTAGCTTCCAGCAAATATTGAATGAGGAATGTAGAGGTGCAGGACGGGATCACCAAGTGGAAGAAGATTACAACCCTGCCTCCTCGTCTCTATCTTGTGGATTAGCCTCGTTTTCCCCTCTCCCGGCTGGATCCATTCTCGCACCGTGTTCTTGGCGTCTTACGTTTTCTTTCTCTTTTACTAATCATATCAATCCGCAAGATCTTCTTCGCTCTCCCAAATTCTTTCTTGGGTTAGTTAAGCAGCAGCTCCTGATCATTCGAAAGAAGAAATCTGCATGAAATCTGGGTGAATTTTGCCACAACACATCCCACTTTCCTCCATTCCAACACCAGATTTTTTCTTCTTTTTTTCTTTCGTTTTTCCTTCTTTCACACATGTTGGCAGTTTGATAATTAGCTTCTGCTGCGTACTGCGGCTGCACGCTGCTGTCCTCCTGCGCGCTGCTCTCGCTGCTCGCTGTGTTTCCTCTGGGCTGTGGAGATTGCGTTATAAATACACCACCCCTTCGTTCCTTTTCCTCTCCTCCATAGCTTTACAACACTCCTGCTGCTGTTCTTCATTCCCTCCATTCAAAACCTTCTCTGTCGAGTCGAGCGAGTCGAGTATTCACCTTTGAAGAATCAGGAGGGGGTGGTGATCGGGGAGAGTGTCTTTCTCTCTTGCAGCTTCTCTCCCAATCCTGCTGCTGCTGCTGCTGCTTCTCACTGGGGGGAGAGATTCTTTCAAGATCTCTTCACATTCAAGGGGGGAGAAAGGGATTGATTTGGATCCCTGTGAGAGTGATATAAACTCTTATATATACTTCCCCTCTCTCCCTCTCTCACACACGCTTCTGTATATGTGTTTTGCATGCATGGCCACAATCAATTGGTTTCTGGGAAGCAATCAGGCTGCTGCTCCTGCTCCTGCTTTCTGCTTTCTGCGCCCTGCTGCTGCTGAGAACTACTCCTGAGCATTAGAGAATACATGCAGAGAGATCTTTGTCACCAACAACACACAAGGCTGCTCCTTTTTGTTCCTGCCATCTCTGTGTGCTTCAATTGCAGCACTGCACTCTCTTCTCTCTTTTAAAGACTCTCACTTTCTCTTCCTCTCTCTCTCTCTCTCTCTCTTCGCTCTCTTGCTTTTCCTCTTTCTTTTGCCTCCTGCTTCTTCCCTTTCCCTCTCACTCACATTCACACCCTTCAGCAGAGAGGCTTCAAACAAAAACAGCAACAAAAGCAACAGGCTAGCTATAAGCCAGTGGTTGAAGTTTGTTGGCACTTTTGTTTGGTTGTTTCATGCCAAAAGTTTCATGATAGCTGGCTGTGCATGCTGATCATGATATAGAAGCACCCAGGGAGGCCAAGAGAGAAGAGGCCCAAGTTCCAACAAAGTTTATAGCACCAGAAAAGAAAAAAAGAAGAAAAAAGGAAGGAAAAAAGAAGGAAAAAGGAAGAAAAGAAAAGAGAGCTGCTTGATCATAGGATTGAAGCGCGAGTTGTCTTGGCAAGATCCAGCTGCGGAGAAGGAAAGATAGCAAAACCGGATACAACCACCACTCGAATCTCTTCGTGGGATTTGGGAATATCTGGATTGGAATTCTCGGCTCTCCTCGTTGTTCGTCGCTCACCCTTTTCTCTTTTTGATTTTTCTCGTTTTTTCATTCAGCTCAGATCTTCCTTCTCTCTTCTTTAATTTCTTTCTCTTTTTCTGCTATTTCTCTCTCTCACTTACACCATCTCTTCCTCCAGCAAGAAAGAAGGAAGAAGATCATCTAAAGTTCTCTCCGTTGCTCCTTTCGAAAGGCTTTTTGACAATGTCAGGAGTGTGGGTCTTTAGGAATGGAGTTGCTCGCCTCGTCTCCAATCCGCTTATGGAGCCCATCGACGGAGGCATGGAGCCAGTGGTGACGCGACGAAAGGTTCTCGTGCATGTCCCCAGCAACGAAATAATCTCCTCGTATTCGTGCCTGGAGCCAAAGCTCCTGGCGCTGGGATGGGAGCGATACCCGCTCGAGGAGCCCGACCTCATCCAGTTCCACAAAGTCTACTCGGTGGATCTCATCTCCTTGCCCGCCGATTTCTCCAAATTCAAGACCATCCACATGTATGACATTGTGGTCAAGAACAAATCAATCTTTGAGGTTCGTGACTACTTCTCCTCGTCTTGATCAACGATCCCTCTTCCATTCTTTTTCTTCGATTTCGCTTTAGCTCTTGTAGTTCAAGTAGTGCTCTACTCTTATCTCCAAAAGGCCAGCACAGATTTCTCTGGAAAGAAAGAAAGAGAGAAAGTGAGAGATAACAAAACAAAAAACGGAGCAATACGATATACCTTGTTTCTATTCTTTGCTTTGAATCTCTTGTGGAAATGGAATGTTTTTTGTAGCACCGGCTGCTGCATATATTTAAAAAGAGGACTCAAGCACTCTTTCTTTTTTCTGCTATTTTTTCACTCATGGTCAACAATCCCGGGAAAAAACAAGACGCCAAAACATCTCGCATGTGTTCCATAAAAGCAACTATCAAACACACTCGCTTCAAAAGAACGTCGTCGAAAGCTCGCTTCAAAAGACTCTCATAAAGAAAGATTTGTTCTTGCATCCGGAGACTGGCGTTAATGTGCTTTTTTGTCACGTATATATTATATTTTCCTACAAAAAAAAACTATATTGGTTTTTTCAGACAGTCACGGACATTTCCAAACCATTAACAAAAAACAAAAGCAATTAAAAAATATAGAAAATCCGAAACAAAAAAGTTTGATAAGGTTCTTGCCAATGACATGCCAACGTCCATGGACCATAAATTAATTCACCAACAGCAAACATTTACAAAAGTTGGTAGGATTTTTCTCTCGGCCAAAACATGTTCCAAAACAATAACTTTTTTTAATTTTCTTCTCCTTATTTGTCAATGCAATGCAATGATCACTAGCTAGAGCCCTCAAATGATAAAAACCCCCCAAAGCAAAAAGAACTATCTGGGATGATATTAGCACGCAGTGCATGCATTTAGCAATACGAGATTTATTTCCTCTTTACCAAATTGAGGTGACCATCACAAACAAATCCCAATCTTCTCTGGATCATAAGTTTCATAGATATATAGGTGCACATGATAAAGCTAAGTTGACTATGGGCACCCAGCAGCCGTGGATACGCCACCCATCAACGGCTCCAGCACGTCCTACGGGTGCTATACGGTCCGTATGGCATCCAGAGAACGTCAGCAGCCCGGCAATCCCAATAGCAAAAGCTGGCCTCGCATTTAATGTGCTGCCGGCGTGTCCTGGCTGGTATCTTTGTGTTAGGTGTCAACCAGTCTTTGGGTAAGACAAGCTTAAAACATTTGCCCAGTTGGGGCATTTGCTGTACATGGTCCTTTCTCTAGTTTCTTTTAAATGGTTTTTAGAGTTATATTATTTTTTATTTTTTTAAAATCATATGTACAAAGATTGCAACAAAATCTTTGCGAGCTTTGGGTCTCTCGATCATATTGCATGGAACTCGAGAATTGGAAAGAGTGGGAACTTTAATGGTCTTCCAGGTGATACTTACCATGACAAAAGAAAGCTTCAAACTCTTTCGCTATTCTTCCAGTCTTTCTCTACAAACGTTTCTTCTTTTTGTCCAATTTGGTAGCAAATTCCGCGCTTGGGCATTTTGGATACTTTCTTTCCTTGGTTTTTCTTTTCTTTTCTTTCTTGTGACGCTCACTGTAACAAAAAAAAAAAAATCTCCCGCTCGCTCCTCCCGGGAGAGAGCTTTTACTTCTCAAAACATGGAGTTGTAGGTGAAGAGCGTAGCTACCACAGACACGATACCGATGACAAACGTTGGGAAGAGCGTTGCATTGAGGAGCTTGTCTTCTCGCAAATACCCCGCCACAGTTATGGTTCCATCCGCAATAACACGGGCCAGTGTCCCGGCCTCCGTCGACAGCAGCCCGCCGTTAAAAGTCCCTCGGGCGAGCCTCGATGACATCACCTTGGACAGCAGCGACAAGTTCACACCTAGAACAAGGAGAAAAGCTTAGAAAATTCGCAAGCAGCCAGGCAAGACACACAACAAAGTCTCTTCCCTTCCAAGCGACTCAACCGACGAAGAAAAAACTATGAAAGCTTACCTTCGAGGACCTCGGCCGAGACAAAGATAAGCACCGCTCCCGCGATGTACTGTACAATTGTGTAGTGGAATGGCCCGGAGAAGCTGACCAGCACTCCCACGCAGGTGAGTATCTCCGCCGCTAGAAGTATTTGCCTGGAATTAAAAAACCAGTTGAATCGTCCCAGTCAAGAAAACCAGCTTACCGATCCTCGAAGATGTTGCTCAAGCAGCTCCCGACGACTGCGTTCACTGGCAACACCGTAAGACCCAGCAAGGCGAGGAAAATGGCCACGTTTCTCACGTCCCAGTGGAAGTAGAATGACGTGACAACACTTGATTCTGATATCAAAACCTCCACAGCGTACTTGAGCATGAAATATATGAGCAGTTGCACCTGCAAAATATATAGTGTCAGCCTTTGTCACATTTGCTTAGAAGCACTCACCTTGACTGGGAGTGTGAGGAGATTGTACGCTTCTCTGATGGAATTCGCTGGCTGCTTGGAATTGTCTTCAGAGGCGTCATCCTCTTCTCTTTCTCCTTCCACATCATTTTCGTCCTCTATTTCCGTTTCCTCTCTGGAGTCGTAGCTAGAATTCAGAGGTTGCAGCATTCCCTCCTCGGCATCACTTTGTTCTTTATGCTTTCCATTGGCAAAACCGTTATCTGCAAACCATGGAAACCGTGTAAGCAGCAAAATAACAAGGACAGTACCAATAGCCAGCCTCGACTGCCTGCCGCTTGTTGATCCGTCAACCTCGATTGGACGTGCAGGTTCTTTGAAAGAAACCGATAACCACGCCAAGTAGAGAATCCAGCAGATAGCCATCGCCCACCCAGGCAGTGTGTTGGCATTAAACGTCATTCCCACGAACTTCTTGTTGAACTCCAGAACTCCTGCTAGAGCTGGACCTGCTGCCATCCCCAAGGCACTCGCACTCACAAATCCTGCCGAAGCTTGCAGGCGTGATTTTAGAGGCACGCAGTCGCTGATATACCGCCTGTTTACCGCTCTAGCAGAACCCAGCCTGCCATGCAAATGAAGAAACAGGGCGGTCAACAATGCTGATCTTAAGTGAATACGTACCCACAAAGAAGACGTCCAACCAGCAAGAGACTAAGCGAATTGCAGTCGTAAGCAATTGCATAGAGCAAGTTCCCCATGAAGAGCATCACACTACTGAATATGAGAGGCCGAAAGTAAGAGGTGTTCGACCATGCACTGAAATACACAGAGGATACCAGCTGAGCTACAGCCATTGCTCCGATTATAACTCCGCACAGTGTTGGCGCAGCACCCATGCTCAGGGCATACTTGTCAGCCGTTGGAACGATGATGTACGTGTTCACCTGCAACCATGACATAAGTTTGTGCAAGTAGATACCGGCACCTCACATACCATGTACAAGAATGTGTTCGCGAGGTTGAGGATAAGAGACATCAAATGGTACTGCTCTTCCTGAACGTCCTCTTCACCGGGAGCTCTAGGAAACTCATCTTTCATGAGCATTGCATGCTGTCCAAGGAACTGAAGGAAGTTCGTGGAATTTGTCAATCTTTCTTGTGCTGCTTTTATCGACTCAACAATCGGTAACTAGAACCATCGAGTCAGTGTGTGGCGCATATAAACAAACAGTCTTACTCGAGCTGGAACATCAGGATAGTCGTAAATGGAAGTCAAAGACTTTCTATGTTCCTCCAACTCTGAAAGGTTTCGTGTCAGAGCTCCAACCATTGCTCCGATTCCCTGAAAAAAATTCAAACACGTCACTGAGTGAGGGACCGATCTGACAGTAATGGAAAACAAAGATCCAACACTAACCACGTGTTTGAAAACTTGTTGCAGCTGCGAGTATGGATGATTGGAGCGGCTGGAGACGTAGTAATCCGTCAGCCTGTACCCAATGTGCTTATCAAATTTCTTGAGAATCTTTCTCAAGCCGATGGCGTTCACTTCCACAAAGTAGAGCAGCTTGAGCAGATCCTTTCCAACATCATTATAAGCGTCGCGAAACCTGTCTCTCCAATCCAAATCCGCTGGTTGTTCTTTCTCACACCTTTCTCTCTCGGCTCCCAGCTTTCTCAGCCTCTCAGCCAAGTCTCCTTGCCTCACGATGAGGAAGAGAACAATCTTCTCGATCTACATCGAAAAGCAAAGTCGGTAGTAGCAATCAAAGAAACAAAATCCAAGTTCTTACCTGACGATCAAGCATGGACGAAAACTCCTTGAGAACTCGCTGTCGGTCTTCCCTGGTGTTGAAATCACCGTGCTGCGAATAGTACTTCACCTTTTTCTTCATCATCTTGTAAGAAATGTAGTAGCTGCAAAGAAAGAAATCGTTGTTAACAGCGTCGAGCGATCGAAGATTTGAGGCAAAAGGCTTACTCTTTCCATTCCGAAACCCGCTGCTCTCGCAGCTTCTTCCCGAAAGCTACCATAACCGCCCCCTAGCTACGCGCATTCGATTCAGCTCACTAGCATTCGAATGCGGCTAGATTCTTACCTTGTAGCTGGTCCGACCCGATCGAGCCGCGCGATGCGCCGTCGCTCGCTTCGACCGATCGATCGATCGCGCGGGAGAGAGCGCGTATTTTACATTATAAGCCCTATATTGTGACCTAAATCCTTAGCATTTCTCGGCTATTTTTAGCCAAGCAAGAACGAAGGGCACGTGGACGATTGATAAAAAAACACGTGTAAACATTGCCAGGTGTCTTCCACGTAGTCCAAGGGGTCCGCGGCGTTTCCACACCGTTGTGAACACTTGATACTCGCTCGCCAGTGTAAGTTTCAGTGCTGTAGTTTCTTTGGAGCAGCGAAAGAAAGAATGTGTAAGTTTCAGCTTGATCGTGAGATCGACCAAGTAGATAGGAATGGATCTTGAGACTGTCTGGAAACCTCTGTGGATGCAACAGCGATCAAAGGAGCGAGCGGTAGCAGTACCTATAAGCGCTCGAGGTACACAAGGCCTGGACCAAAGCGTCCATTGGCTCCTTATATGTTCTTCTGCAAGGCCAACCGGAAGAAGGTTGTAAAGCAAAATCCAAGCGCTACCTTTGGGCAGATTGGTAGACTCCTTGGAACCCGGTGGAATGGCTTGACACCCAACCAAAAGAAGGTAGGCACTTGGATCGCTTGGAGGTCGGCCATTCATTCTCGTATCGAACTTGACGGTGGCAGCCATACCAAACGAAATCTGCGCACGACAGGAAACGGTACCACAGGCAAATGAGAAGGCGTCGCACAAGGCAGCAGGCCAAGTACCTGTGAGGACGAGAGCGGGATGGATTTTCGTTGGCGAGCGACACTCCGATGATACAGATAGTAACTGCATGGAAAAGCATGCGTGTTCTAGGATGATATACAGTGATAAACAAAGAACGAAATCACCTGGCTCAGTGGATGTAAGTCTCTTTGCACGGTTTTCTTTTCTTCTCCATCTTCTTCCTTTGCGTTCTAGCCATCCTCAGCAGTTTCTGAGGACTCACATTTTGAAGCTGGCAGAGCAACAACAAAACAAAATGAAAGCGTTTCGAGGATGATGAAGAAGACAAGCTTCTTACGCTGCGCTTTCTTCTGTATGGTTTTTTAACCGGTACGTCGACCTCTGGGGGAAGTTGAATGTCGGGCTCGTCCACTTGAGATTCTCCAATCTCGTTAGTTTCAGGTACTGCGTCTAGTGTCACGTATCCGAGTCTCCCGGATCTGAACAAGCCCACTACTCTTTTAGCTGTCTTAAACGTGCTCACCGGCTTGGTTGTAGTGGTCTGGAAAAAGCTCCAGATCTCCCTCAGTTGCAACTCAACCAGAATTTCCATCTCATTCTCGTTTCCCGGGTCTCCCTCATAATTCAATCGAATTTCGGAGAGAATACCCTTGACTTCGACTGTGTACTTGCTACGTTCCATTTTGCTCTGCAAGGAATCAAAAGACGATGGTGACATGCATGAAATCTTTAAAAGTACCTTTTCAACTCCAGTGTGTGTGTCTTTCGGTTGCGTCGTAAACTCCAGAGTGCGAAACTCATCCCACCACTCCTGAAATGGATGTGGAGAAGAATTCCACAACACCAAGCAGTAACGAACAAGTTGCTCCATCCCAACAACGTCATAATCCATAGCGCCTGTTTTATCATTCAGTTCAGGAGAAACAACAAAGAAAAGATGAGGAACTTAATGGCGGACCGATCACAGCGAGGTTCATTCCAAGCTCCGCGTCAGTAATACTCGGATGCATTACTGAAGGCGTATCCAAAATGTACATTGGAGGAGTATAGTTTATCTGCGTCATTGTGTCAAAGGATGACCAGGAAGAAGCAATCAAAAGCACACACCTTGTAGCCGCGAATAGATTCGGTTAAGTATGGACTGGGACCGACAGCAGCCAGCGTCATCTTCTCAAGCGCTGGAAATAATATCAGCATTATATCAGCAAGAGCACTGACGAAGCGGCAAAAGAAGTACCTGATATGTTGTAGCGGCCAACTCGATGCAAAGTATTGGTAAGGACAGATTTTCCTACATTTGGTAGACCAGCCAGCATCGCCAGAGTTGTCCGCTCGGCTTTGAGTGCACGAAGAATCGAAAACTTCACTTTCCTTACCATCTACAAAAAAGAAAGAAAAAAGAAACCTTGAACGTATCAAAGGAGAAAATTGGAAAAGAAAGACGTACGATCTTCACGGAGAGTTTGTTGTGTCCATTGACGAAGACGTAGTTTTGTTGGCGCTTATGGAAGTAGAGCTTCCAAGCCTGAGAGAAAAAAGAAAGAAAGAAAGAAAGAATCGTTAGAACAGAAAAATTCTAAGTTGTTTCAACCTGGATTGTCTCGGGATGGACAAGATCGGCCTTGTTGAGCACGATCAGATGATGCTTCCAGCTGAGAACCCTTTCGTAGAGCTCCTTGTGCGCTGATCCCAAGGGCAACTGCTAGAAAGATCAAATGTAGCTGCGAAACCCTTGCTTACCCGCGCATCGCGAACCTCCAGCACAATGTTGGATGCCAGCGCCCTGTGCTGGAGCTCTTGGATCAGAGGAGCCGAATCTGGAAGCTCCCAGCGAGCGGGCGCTAGCTTGAGCGCAAGATTTCTCCGCATTTGTGCCAATGCCATCCCCTGTTTGAGATTTAGGGTTTTTGGGCAAACGGGATTATTAGGATTCTATCCTTTACACATCTATGATAAGGCCTTTTCTTTATCCTATTATCCTGACTTAACACTTATGCTTGGGCTTGTAGCATTTTGGTTAGTGCGGATCAATGCTTCAATATTCTGGATATATTAATTATTTGAACGTTTGCATAAACGAAGATCACTCTCACTCGCTACGTTTTGAATATCATGTATTAGATCAAATCGAAAGCGCGTGACAAAAGATTTAATCTGGATGAACAGAGAAAAATACAGAAGTTGGAATCCTTGCCCTAAATTTAATCACAAATCAAAAGGAAGTTTGGTCTAATGATCTAAAGGTCTTATATTCTTTCAAGGTCCTCCATGTCGGTATCAATCTTCTTTTTTCTTCATTCTGGGTTGCGTCCTGGTTTGTGGGCTGTTGTTTGTCTTCTCCTGTGTGAAGCTTTCCCACGCCTCTATGAACTGGATAGTCTCGCGGTTTGTGGAGCGGAGTCTCATCTAGCATTCGACAAGAATCCTTGGATAGTTCCTGGATTGCAAGCTTTCGATTCGTTGAGCTTGATAGAACTCCCGCTGGCGGACCAACTGTGATAAGCCTCCAACCACAGAAACATGAATTTCAAGAACAGGATCGATCAATATGAAACAACTCATTTTTTTTATTTTTTATTTGGATAAAGCCAGAGCTTATTTAGGGTATTCAAAGTGGAGCGTCAATGCACGCCAGCAACACTCCTCCGGAGACGCAACCCAAGCAGGTCGTGAGTAGAATCCCCTTGCATTCAATCGCATTCTGACGATCCTTGCTGTTCCTTCTCGTTTTTCTCATTCGATCTTCTTCGCGGTTTCGCTCCTCTATGTCGATTCTTGTTGAGCTTCTTGATGGTCATGTTTAGAAACAGTGGTATAGAGATCTCTAAAGGAAATCTTGTCATTGATTTCAAACAGGCACCCGTCATGTTGGATGAAGATCTAGAGCGCGCTCTGGTTGCGCAAAATCCTGCCACTACTACCGATGGCTCGGTGGATTTCCGGGACGCGCCCGCAACCAAAGCCAAAACCGGAGGATGGAAAGCCGCGCCTCTTATTTTCGGTACGATTTCTCTTCTTGAATCATCCTAGCGATCATCGACCATGACCGAGATCGTCACGAAAAACAGGCATGGAACTATGCGAAAGAATGGCTTCGCTGGGACTCCAGCGGAATCTGGTCACCTATTTCGTGAATGAGATGCACATCGCTATTCCAAAAGCAGCGAACATGGTCTCAAACTTCGTCGGTACATTGTATCTGACCCCTTTTATTGGAGGCTTCTTAGCGGACGCGTATCTTGGTCGGTTCTTGACGATCAACCTCTTTGCATCAGTCCAGTTAGCAGTGAGTACTTGGCAGCGAATTTGCTTCTTGCGATCACTCACAATTCCGATCCCAGGGAATGGTTCTCTTGACGATTTCAGCCGTGCTCCCATCGCTAAGACCGCCCAAGTGCTCGGATCCTTCACAAGTTATATGTCCGAGAGCTCATGGCTCGCAGATTGCTGTGCTCTTCACAGGACTTTACCTCGTTGCTCTTGGCAACGGAGGCATCAAGCCCAACGTATCCTCCATGGGAGCTGACCAGTTTGACGAGGGAGATCCCCACGAGAGTAAACATATGTCCAGCTTCTTCAACTGGTTCTACTTCATCATCTCTGTGGGATCCTTGATATCGATCACGGTGTTTGTGTACCTCCAGGATAACGTCGGGTTTGGCTGGGGATTTGGCATCCCGTCTGGCTTGCTGGTTGGGGCCATTGTAGTATTTTGCCTGGGTGCTCCTCTGTACAGATACAAGCCACCCAGTGGAAGCTCGCTGACTCGTATTGCTCAGGTCATTGTTGCAGCTTTGACGAAGAAGAATGCGGCATACCCTGCTGATGCTGGGGAGCTGTACGAAGACGAGAAGCCAGATCAGAAAATCGAACACAGTAACCAGTTCCGGTAAGCTTCCAGTTTTGTTTCATGAGTCTCCTCAAAGTTTGTAGCTTGTTTTTCTTTACTCTGTTGTAGCTTTCTGGATAGAGCAGCCATACTACGGCCAGGAATGTATGAGAAAAGCCCGTGGCATTTATGTACCGTCACCCAGGTTGAGGAAGTGAAGATGGTTTTAAGACTGCTTCCAATATGGGCTACCACGGCGTTCGTATGGACTGCTCTAGCACAGATGGAAACTTTCTCGGTCGAGCAGGGAGCCACCATGCAACGGCGCTTGGGTCCCCGTTTTGTCTTCCCGCCAGCGTCTATGTCCGTTTTCGAGCTCATCAACGTCTTGCTCTTCTTGCCACTCTATGACAAGTTCTTCGTTCCATTCGCAAGAAAGTTCACTGGCCATGAGCAGGGAATAACAGCTCTTCAGAGGATCGGTATTGGAATACTAGCCTCGATACTGTCCATGGTTTCTGCGGCTTTGGTTGAAGCAAGGCGGATTGACACAGCTAGGAAGTATGGTTTCCTGGATAAACCCAAGGCAGTGCTTCCAATTACCATCTTTTGGTTGATCCCGCAGTATTTTCTCCGAGGTACCACTGAAATCTTCACACAAGTCGGCCAGCTTGAATTTTTCTACAAGGAGTCTCCACGGCATATGCGAAGTTTTGGGACTGCGCTCTACCTCAGTACTATAGCAGTCGGTCACTTTCTTAGTACAGCGGTCGTCACTATCGTCAACCGAGTTACAAGCCATGGCGATCAACCTGGTTGGCTTACCAATAACCTCAACAGGAGTAAGTTGAGCAATTTCTACTGGCTTCTGGCTGCTATGAGCTCCGTCAACTTCCTGTTCTATCTTGCCTGTTCCAAGTGGTACAAGTACAAAGAGATTGGTAAATCGAGGCAGCCCCCAGAAACACTGGTCCCGGAGTCCCTCTGAACCAGGTTCACGATTTATTACAAATTTTCCTCCAAGTACCCAAGGAAAAATTAACACGGGATGACAGAGGCCTTTGGTGCTCGATGGTTACTCTGGATTCCCTGTCGCAATCGTGACACAGTAGCTTAAATATCATCATCACTGAGTTTTTTGACACCAACTTGCATACATGGCATAAGAGCGACGGACTGCATGAAACACGTTGGGTGTCTTTTGGTTTTAGTGCCGACCAAATCAAGCTACAAAACGGAGCGGAGTGATTCGCATTGAACATCATCAAAGCTATTCTTTCTCCTTCTTGTTCTTTCAATTGTAAATATGGATACACTCCCTGGCTGCGAGATCCTTGGCTCCGGTTATAATGTCCTGAATGGCTACTATGCCGACGTGAAGAGCTGCCTCAGCAACCTCTTCAACTTTGGGGATGATTACCAAACCGTGGTGGTGGGTTCCAAGAGTTTCTCAATGCCCAAGCCCATCAGCTATCACTCAAGCATCGGCACCTCCGTACAATCCATTTCCGGTAATTCCATCCAGGAATATAGCAGCAGCTTGAACTCCAAGACAAAGGTTGAAGGCAATTTCCCCTTCTTCTCTTCTTCCATTGAAGCTGACATAGGGGAAGCTTCTGCGAACAGCTTGCTAAATGCATTCAGTAAAGTACAATACCGAGTCGATTTGTACACTCTTCAGCTTCCTCCCTACCATACCGAGTACTTACGGACCAATGCAAAGAAGGACATTGACACCATGAGCGATCTAACTGTGCTCTTTGATACTTACGGTACTCACTACCTCGCTGGGCTGATCATGGGTGGGACCGCAGTCTACACGTCGGTTACGGACAAGACCACCTACAGCTCAGAGTACGACCTCAGCATCGTCGCACAAATGTCTTACAAGAGCGCGGTGAGCAGCATCAGCGCATCGGAGGAGCAACAGTACAAGGAAAGCATCAAGTCATTTCAGGAGTCAAGCCGAATCAGCCTCAACACGACTGGCGGAGACCCCGGTCTCGGGGGAGTACTTTTCACGACCATGCAGACGATTGGAGCGCCAGTGTTATAAACTACATAGCGTTCATCGACTTCCTTGGTGAACTAAGCCTGGTCGGGATCTGGAAGCTTGCTTCCACCCCAGAGCGAGCACAGGAGATTCTGGACTTCTACCCCACGTACTGTGAGCAGAAGCAGAAGCATTATGGGAGCGATGGTCCAATGCTCCGTGCCAGGATAGTTCCACTTCTGAAACGGCAGTTCAACGACGACGGCAGCGGTGCAAGCAAGGATCTCAGCGTCTGCATTCCAGACATTGGTGGTGGCTGGTATTACCTCGGCCAAGTTGCATTCCCTGGAGGAGACGCCAGGGGTAATACATTGGTGGTTCAAGAGATCTACCCAGGTTCAGGAGCGCTTGTTGAAGTACAGAAATGGGAGAAACTGTGGGATGATACAGGTTCACACAAGAGCAAGAACTTCAACCTCTGGCGTGGCCTTGCATTCGACCCGGTGGACTACGTTGTCTTGAGCGACTTCTTCCAGGGTGGTGTGGACAACCAGGACGCTCCCACAAAAGGGGAGGCAGCTGGTATCAAGGACGTCTCTGTGAGCTGCGTGGTACCTGCTAAGGTGGGCAGTATGATATGGAACGACATTGGCACACATGCCTCAAATGATGCGTCTGTTTGGAAGATTCTTCCTCCTGACCAGGGTGCCATAGACTCGAGCAAAATTGAGCCTTACTATGTTGCGGTAGGGAGTCACAGCCAGCCCAACCGTCCAGTGTACGTGCTCAAGAAATCGGCCGTCCTTCTTGAGGCCTAGAGTCCACCTATCTAATGCCTGAATAATCGATATCTAATACCTGAATAAGCGAAAGCATTTGCTAAAGATGCCACTATATCAATTTCATTGGTTCAGTAAAAAGTTAAATACGACTAGTTCAGTAGGCATAATCTTAACAATCTATTAGGGTTTATGGCTGACTCCACCTGTAAATCTCCGAAATCTCGCGATTTTCCTTCTCCAATCTCTTGCACGCACAGCGAAGGAGCACGATTTGATGTCATCGTTGTTGGAGGCGGCCATGCCGGCTGAGAATGGGAGCTCGCACATTGCTCTCGATAGGCAGGTAAACAAAGAAATCTCGCGATTTTTATTTATCTTCTTTCTTGTTGCCAATTGTCTATCCTTCCTTGCAAAGGCGAGTGTTGAATCGTTCCAAAGGTCCTGCGGTGTGGGCTTTGCGTGCCCAAACCGACAAGAGGGAGCACGCTAGAGAGATGAAGAAGGTCGTGGAAACGTAAGCGTTTTCTTTTTCTTTCGATCTTTCTATGGGATTTATATTGTTCTTGGCTAACTTTCAGAACAGAGAATCTGTTTATCCGGGAGTCTATGGTGACTGAGGTGCTGGTTGGAAGAAACGACGATGTTGAAGGGGTCGGCACCTTCTTCGGCGTTAGTTTCTTTGCACCAGCGGTGGTTCTGACGACCAGGACCCTTATGAATGGAAAGATATGGGTTGGACGCAAATCCATGAGCGCAGGGGGAGCGGGCGAGTCCGCATCGCAAGGACTTACGGAGAACTTTTGGTTTTGAGATCGACAGGCTTAAAACGGGAACTCCCGCAAGGGTAGACGTTTGGACTGTGGATACAAGCAGATTGGAGTCCCAGCCTGGTGACGATGACGTTGAGAGAGACTAGCAGTGTTGCTACATTACACGGACGACGCCAGAGACTCACAAGCTCATCAAGGATAATTAACTTGAAACTCCAACATATGGAGGATGGGTGGAATCGAAAGGCCGCAGATATTGCCCTTCCATCGAAGACAAGGTCAAATATTTATGGTATGAAAGCATGTAAATATTCTGATATTGCTTTGGATTCTAGATTGTCAGATGTAAAGACAAAGACAGCCACCAAATATTTTTAGAGCAACCTTTCCTGACTTAGCCATGCTGCGACCAGCATATGCCGTGGAGTATGAATATTTGCCTGAATGACAAAGAAGATAGAGGGTTTATATTTCAGTGGTCAGATAATTGGAACAACTGGATATGAAGAAGCTGCTGCTCAGGTATAGGTGGTGTTCGGGCTGTCGATAAAAATGTGTTGATTACAATGCAGGGTTTTGTAGCAGGTGTTAATTCTACAAGATATTTCTGTAAGAAAAATTCTTTTGTCCCGGAAAGGGAGACGCTCATATATAGGAGCACTAATAGACGACCTGGCAACGTAGAACTGAGAGAGCCACACTTAACTTGCATTTTTTAATGCTTTTCAGATGCAGCCGTTCAAAACATCGTCTGCTACTTCGGGCAGATAATGCAGATAGTCGTCTTACTCCGGTGGGTAGAGACCTCGGATTAATCGATGAAACAGTCCCGTATTACTGACGACAATAAACGTCTACAGACTACTCGATACTGTATTGACGTTCTTGTTCGCATTTTTTTCTTTTTGCAACAGAACCACTATATGCAAACTGCAGAGGTTCTGCAACTGTCCGGGATGATCCAGTTTTCCTGAACATGCTCTTGAAAAGGCCTCATGTCCACGAACTGGAAAATCATGGCGCTGGAAATCCCTTGCGGGAAGAGAAAGAATGCGAGAAGCTGCTTACAAACTTGGGTCCATCTTTATTTAAGCAACTTTATTTTACCCATAATAATCAAGTCTAGTCCCCAAAACGGACAGCCGACTTCTTGAGCACGTACACTGGACGGGTGGGAACGTTGTGACTCTTTTCTGCGACGTAGTAAGGCTGGAACTCATCGACGGAAACCGGGGCAGTAGGATCAATGGCCCAAACAGATGCATCGTCTGAGGCACCTGTGCCACTATCGTTCCATATCAGACCACCCATGACCACCCCACTGGATACGAGGCAGCTGACTGAGACAGCCTCGATACCAGCTGTCTCCTCCTTTGTGGGAGCGTCCTGGTTGTCCACACCACCCCGGAAGAAGTCGCTCAAGACAATGTAGTCCACTGGGTCGAACGCAACACCGTGCCAGAGGCTGTAATTCTTGCTCTTGCCTGAACCATGGTCATCCCACACCTTCTCCCAGTGGTGTACGTCGACAAGCGCTCCTGAACCTGGGTAGATCTCTTGGCTTCTCCTCCAGGGAATGCAACTTGGCCGAGGTAATACCAGCCACCACCAACGTCCGGAATGCAGACAGAAAGATCCATGTGTGCGCCGCTGCCTTCGTCGGTGAACTGCCTTTTAATAGGAACTATCCTGGCACGGAGCAGTGGACCGTCGCTCCCATAATGCTTCTGTTTCAGCTCACAGTATTTGGGTCAGAAGTCCAGAATCTGCTGTGCTCGTGCTGGGGTGGAAGCAAGCTTCCAGATCCCGACCAGGCTTAGTTCACCAAGGAAGTCGATGAACGCTATGTAGTTTATAACACTGGCGCTCCACCCGTCTGCATGATCGGGGAAATGTACTCCCCCAAGACCGGGGTCTCCGCCAGTGGTGTTGAGCTTGATGCGGCTTGACTCCTGAAATGACTTGATGCTTTCGCTTTTCTCCTCAACAGTGATGCTGCCCACCACGTTCTTGTAAGACATTTGAGCGGCAATGCCGAGGTCGAACTTCGAGTCGAAGGTGCTCTCGTTCGTGACTGAGTGAAGACCGCAGTGCCACCCATGATGAGGCCAGCCAAGTAATGAGTACCGTAAGTATCAAAGAGCACAGTTAGATCGCTCATGGTGTCGATGGCCTGCTTTGCATTGGCCCGCAGGAGCTCAGTATGGTGGGGAGGAAGCTGAAGAGTGTACAAATCCACTCGGTACTGCACCTTGCTGAATGCGTTTACCAAACTGTTCGCAGACGCTTGCCCTATGTCGGCATCGATGGATGCAGAGAAGAAGGAATACTCGCCTTCAACCTTTGTCTTGGAGTATATATTAGTTAATGAAATTAATTGGTGACTTTTTTTTGCATAACTGGTATGAATAAATCAAATAGGTCTCATGTACAGTGGTAATTGCAACATTTGAATTTTTTACATTAAACACTTCAAATATATGTGCATTTCACTTTTGTTATCTTAGTTTAGTCAATAAACAATAAATAAAATATATATATGCATACATATAAAATATATTACACATGTAACATGACCAAGTGCACGAATTCAACACAGAAGAATATGAATTGCCTCCGAAAGTTCTTAGCTTTGTGGTTTCATGCGAGGTTCATGACTAGGTTATGTTGGTATAAACATATGCTAAGTAAGAAAAATTATTAAGTAATTCATTTTAATGTAGTATATTTGTCAAACTACCAAATCTGGTAAATTAATTGGTAGGTATTACATTTAAAATAATA